ACATTTTTAATGTGTTGCTGCATTTGGTTTGGCAGTATTTTGTTGGAGATTTGTGCATCTGTGTTCATCAAGGATATTATAGCCTTTAGTTTTCTCTTTTTGTTGCATTTAGTACCTTGTATTTTGCTTTGCAGAATGTTTTGAAATTAGTATAGAAAGTATGAAATCTCCAACTTTGTTCTTTTTCAGATTGTTTTGACTACTTTAGAGTCCTTGAGTTTTCATATGAATTTCAAGATCCGTTTTCAATTTTTGCAACCATTGTAAATATTATAATAAGACAACCCAATTTAAGAATGGAGGGCTGGGCTGGGGATTTAGCTCAGTGGTTCCGCCGCCTGCCTTGCAAGTGGAAGGTCCCAAGTTCCATCCCCAGTACCAAAACAAACAAACAAGAATGGAGGGGGCTGCGGATTTAGCTCAGTGGTTCTGCTGCCGGCCTGTCAAGTGCAAGGTCTGGAGTTCAATCCCGGGTACCAAAAAAACAAAAACAAAAACAAAAAAACAATGGAGGGCTGGGGATTTAGCTCAGTGGTGCCATCGTCTGTCTCACAAACGCAAGATCCCGAGTTTGATTCCCAGTACTAAAAAGCAAAAAAGAATGGACAGTGGCTCTAGACATTTCTCCAAAGAAAATATACAAATGGGCCATATGCTCAACATGCCCAACATCATTAGCAACTAGGCAAATGCAAATAGGAACTACACTGAGGTACCATTTTATACCAATGGGATAACCATAATTAAAAAGTTGGATAATAACATGTATTGGTAAGAACGTAGAGAAATCAGAACCTTTATACACTGCTTGTTGGAAGATGAAATGGTACAGCTACTTTGAAAAGCAGTCTAGAAATTCCTTAAAAATATAAAACAGAACTGTCACATGATCCAACAAATCTACTCCTAGATATATACCCCCCAAAACTGGAAAATACACTTTGAGTGGTTTACACTGCCTTAATCCTGGTAGTCTGGATGGGATAAAAGAGGCAGAAAGACACGGTGAAGGCCCCTCATTGCCTTTGCTAACCTTGTGAGCACCATGTTCTTTCTCCTCTGCGATGCTCATTTGCCATCCTGTCTTGGACCCAGCCAACTATGGACTGAAAACCTCTACAAACTGTAAGCTAAATAAACCATTTCCCTTTTAACTTTGGGTGTCAGGTATTTGTCTCAGCAACAAGAGAAAAGTAACACACAGGTCCATACAAATACTTATACACAAGGAGTTATAGAAGCATTATTTGTAAGTTAAAAATGTAAATAACCCAATGTTCATCATCTTATGAATGAAGATAGGTTGTATCTTTAAGATGAAATATTTAGTCATAAAAATGAATGAATTACTTATATATGCTGCACCATGGATAGCCTTCAAAAACATAATGCTAAGTAAAATGAGCCAGTCCCAAAAGACTGCACATCATAATATGATTCCATTTATATGAAATGTCTAGAATAGATATATTTATACAGTCCAAAAGTAGATTAATGGTTTCTTAGGGGTAGTGGGAGGGACTAAAGAATAAAAGCTAAACAGCACAGGATTTGGGTTTCACAGATCTTTCTAAGAAAGCAATTTCTAAGCTGAAACTTGGGGACAAGATTAATATCTAAATGTTTGCTTTTAATATTTGTTAAAGATGTCAAAATAAGCAGTTTCATATACTGAAAAGACAAAAAGCCTTAAAACTCCAAAGAAAAAAATGATCTCAACAAATAGAATAACTTCCACCACCTTCTACATGGTATGTAGGGTCCAAAACATGAAATATGGGGTCATTCTAAAGTTAATGAAATGAACTAGAAGAATGTACTGCAGTCTCCCTGTGCAACCAAAATTCTACCATTTTCCAGCTGCAGTCTGGGGCCACTTGATGGTAGTTTTCTGCTCCATTTTAACTACTGATGGGGATGATTCTATGTCCCTTTGACAGGCTAGAAATTCCTTGGCAAAAGCAGCAATTTCAAGAATTAGTTAGTCAATGCTGTGGGGGTTTTTTGGGGGTTTTTTTGGGGGGGGGGTTGTTTTGTTTTGTTTTGTTTGCCAGTGTAATGGGAAAGACTATCCAATTTTGTTGGGGGTTTTTTGGTACTGGGGATTGAACTTGGGATCTTGCGCTTGCAAGGCAGGCGCCGGAACCACTGAACTAAATCCCCGGCCCAAGACTATTCAATATTGAAGGTACAAAGTTCCACCTTTTACTTTTCTGGAGTTCCCTTCATTGCCTTAACGTTTCTTCTCCACACATAATATTTCCAGCCCACTCTTGTTTACAATAATGGCTAAGCAGAGAACCAGGTCCAAAAGAGTTAAATGTAATTTTTCATGGAAGCTTTATTATATGCATTTATGGCTTCTTAATGCCCAATATTTATTCCTTACTTTTGGTACTAGAACTCCGATTTTTGTTTAGAAGGCAATGTGCCTAGAATTTTTATGCTTCCTCAGACTCTACTGCAAGGTATGGTTAGGCGTTGTAGTGTGAACAATACGGGATTTTGGGAATCTCTGCTTTAGTGATATAGGCGCCACTCATGTCAACTTCTTTTTACATCTTCTTCCCTAGAACTTGGTAATGAGGCTGGAGACAGAGCTATCATCTTTGCACTATGAGATAACCATGATGAGTGCTCTATGTGAAGAATGATGACGGAGAAACTTAGAAGGAAGCTTAGCACTGACACTACTGTAGGGCTGCTGCCCATGTCTGTATAGCCCATTTGCAGATTCCCATTAGGTGACAAAGCTAATGCTTATTTGACTGAGATTAAATTTCTATGATACATACCTATATGCCATGAGCATAAACTTTATATCTTTGGAAACACCCCCAATTTTTAAGGTTTTAATACAGAAAGTCCAACTCTTATGTTAATAAAAAATTCACAGCACTCCAAACCTTGTAATCCACTAAGCAGGAGTGAATAAAAGCCATTAAGCGGAAGCAGCACAGAGGGTGGTTTCAGACAGGGAGTCTCTTAAGGCCCCTTACCTTCACTAAACTCATTCCCCAAGCCATCCATCCCAGAAAGTATATATTCCAGGTAAAACAGTGCTTGCTATGTAAATACATTTCCAGACATATTCTTTGGTGCCTCCTTAATAATATTCCCATGCCTAAATTCTTCCTACATGGAAATTTTCCTGGAGCATAATCTCCTGGGCAACTCCACCCACTTCTAAAGTTATGGTTCAGGGTCCATTACTGCACATACCGTGCAACTTTCAAGCAGACACATAAAATGATGTAGCTCAAGGAATGTTAACAGCTTTTTCCACCTTTGCCCCAGCTGATTTCTGCTCTACCTCAAAATCTGTATTTTATTACCACTTTTTACACACAATGCTTCAACCTCTAAAACAAAGTCCTTACAAAATTCATCATCCTCTGGGGTAGACACAGCCGTGACTGAAAATAATATGAGCATTTATCCAGTAAGTGTAGTTTAGATAAAGTAACATACAGTGATCATAGGCCAATTTGGAGGAAGTAAAGGTCAGAATGCTGCTAAATTCCTATAGGCACTCTTGTCTATGTGAGAATAAATTCTATTTTGCATTTAAACTTAAATGTAGATTGCTTTTTTTACCCCCTAGTACGGGATTGAACCCAGGGCCTTCACACTGAGCTAAGTCCTCAGCCTTTTTGTATCTTTCATTTTGATAGGGTCTGGCTATATCACTAAGTTGCCCAGGCTGGCCTTGAACTTGTGATCCTTTTGCTTCAGCTTCCCAAAGGGCTAGGATAACAGGCATGGGCCACTATGTTGGTCTAGATTGGTTTTACTATCACAATGAAATAATGGCCTTTCAAGTAACAAAACCACATACACAAAAAGTAAATTATCTAATAAATTTATTTATCCTATTACTAAAATCTGTAGGCTTGCAAATAAAAATCCGTGTGTCAATTAAAATTATATATTATTTTCATTTCAGAACAGAATTACTCCATAACATTTTCTGGTCTTTCTAGTGTTTCCCAATGAAACTTTCTAAAAATAATAAAATTCACCTAAGAAAGATTACTGAGTCGTTTCAAATAAATGATTATTCTGTAATTGTCAAATTCTTCCACGTTAACTTACACCTATTTCAGAGAGTTTTTCTTTTCTTTTCTTTTCTTTTTTTACAATTTAGGGAGAGAAAATCCCCCACTCTTTTCTTTAGGTAGGCAAGGTCAATCAGCAAGGAGACAGCTTCGGATTTCAGAAAGGATCTTTAGTATTACCAAGGCAAAGGTCAAAGAAACATGAAATACATATTGTCCCTGCGTCCTTTATTGAAGGCAATTCAAATTTTGGTGTGTACTGTCGTCAGCACCCAGTGTTAACCTTTCATACAAGCATACCAGAAAGCATTACAACTATCTCGGTCACCATCCTTTCCTAATAAGCCATACAAATTCGGGCAGAAGTAATCATTTGGCCAAGTCCGGCGGCAGGGAGCCTCAACCCGCTCCAATGGGATATGTGGGAATCTGGCAGCAAATGCAGCGAGGGAGAGGAGGGGCCCGCGGGGCCGGCACCGCTGCGCTCACCTGGTCAGCGCGCAAAGCTCCACAGTGCTCCTGAGCGCTTTGTTTCTCTAGGGCCACGGTGTTTAAAATCAACACCCGGAGACAAATTGAACCCATTCTTTTAGTTTGGCATTCAGGGGCTCGGTGCCACACGAGTTCTTCGCCGGTCACTTCCACGTCCGCGTCTGTCACTCGGCGTGCACCTCTCTCGGTGTACGAAGCAGGGGACAGATCGCTGCCCACCCACGGAGGAGCGCTCCGAGCCGGGGAGTGCTCGTTTCCCCAGCCCACACAAGGCGGCGCTGGGAAAAGTTGGACCGACCGGCACCTCCAGAAGCTAACAGAGCAGCCCTTCGCTCCCGGTGGCCGCACGAGCGACGCGCTGCGAGTCGCGGTCAACTCGGCGCGAGCGCCTGGGCCACTTGCGGGAAGTTTGGGGCGGGAGAGACCGGCTCTCGGCGCCTCCCCGCCTACCTGCTAATGTAGCCGTCACCGTCGCCATCGCACGTCTGGAACAGGCGCCTCACCCTCTCCTCCTCGCCGGTGCTGGACGTGTCGCTGCTGCCGCTCGCGCTGGCGCTCCCCGCCGCCGCCATCATGAGGCGCACCCGCCGCCGGCCGCGCCGAGCATGCCCAGTGGGCGCCTGCGGCCGGTAAGGCGCGCGCTCGGCAGCAGGCACCTCGGCGTGGAGGGAAGAGCGGCTTGGGGTCAGGCGGCCGAGGTGGCACTACAGGCCCCGGAGGAGGTGGAGTTCGCTGGGGCCTCCGCGAAGGGTGTGGGAGTGAGGTGTCCCGACAGACGCGGCCCGACCCTCCGGGACGCTTCATCGGAGCGCGGGTGTTCTGGCAGAACTGCACACACTCCGGGATTACTTTTTCAGGAAAAAGATAAACACTCCTGTTTGCAAGCTCAAAGCGGCGTGAGCCCACTCGCCAGGAACGCGCTGGGTCCCTTACCCATTGCCCCCAGGCACTTTCTGACTCTTGTCAGTGAATCCGGACCTCTCAGCCTCAAGTTGGCTTTTACTCTCTACTGGGCAAAATCTGCCCTCCCATGTGGCTTTGTCGCTCGCGGTTGGGTCCAAGGCTGTAAACGGTAGTCCTCCTGTCAGGCGGCACTAGAATTTTTCTCAGGAGAGCGAACATAATAGATGGCCTCATTTGTTCCACCTTAGACCGGGAAGGTGCCTCTTTCATTACCAACTCTATGACTTACGAGATAGATAAATAGTTCTTCCTGGGGTTATTTTCAGGGTAAAAGGAAACTGTACATAATACAAGACAATGCCTGACACCTACCAAATGCTAGATCAAAGTTAGGTTTCATTATCCCCACTTTACAGGTAGAAAAACTGAGGTACTGAGATTTGCTTAAGGTTCCAGGCCTAGCAAGTGTCAGGAGAGAGGCATGTTTGGACAGTCTAAGTCCAGGCAGGAGCTCTTAAACGCTACACTCTCCTATTACCACGGCAGAAAGGGAACCACAATGAACCGATTTGTAGTTTGGCTAGTGACTCATTATTGTGTTCCAGGCTTCCCTCCAGAGGTCTGGAAGTCCTGTGGTGATTTAAAAAACATGTCCACAGACTCTTTGGACATCAAGAGGTGTTTTTTTGTCTCTCCATGAATCTGGCTGGTACCTCATGACTGCCTCGAATTCTAAGGCTAGGTTAGTTAGAAAAGGCGTATTCCACCTGGCTTTCTCACTGGGGATATATATGAATCTTTGAAGTTCTGAGCGGTCATGAAAGAAGTTTGGCTACCCTGAAGCTGTCTTGCTGGAGAAAGCATGTGAAGACAATGTAGAGACAAAAAGAGATGCTTGGAGAGCCCCAGCTGTTCCAGCCTCCAGAAGTTTAAGCCTCATGAGATCAGATGCCAGAGGTGATGAAAGATGATGCTAGCCCTAGATGCTGCAGCTACATGAGAGATGGAGAGCAAACTCTGTCTACCTGAGCCTAGCCAACCCTCCAGAGCCTTGATGATAATCATAAAAGGATTATTGTTGCTTTGAGCTACTATGTTTTGAGGTGATAACTGGATCAGTCATATGTCCTGGAACTGTGTGCAAGGTCAGAAGAAAGAACCACTGCTCTCTTTCTTCCCCTGTCCACCCATCAACCTATTCCTACTTTAATTCTTTTTAATTCTGTAAGTTCCCATTATTTCAGGGCACTTATGTAGTGAATGAGGCTGCAAATTCCTGAGAGAACATAGGTAGAAGTAGGAAAGCTTAGAAAAAGTTTGTAAATCTACCCAATAATATTTGTTTAAAAGATGCCACCAGTATCACAAATATTTCTAGCTACAATAGGATAAGGATTTAAACCCATGTTTATATACAATATACATTTTTCCAATTTTTATAGAGTAAAACTTTTATTATTGCCTGACAATATAGCCAGGCAGGAGTTGCTCTCAAATCTTCCTAGAGAATTAATGGTTTGGGATTTTAAAAGGAAAAAAATAAAAAGATTTATCTAAATACAATATCTACAGAGGGTCTGGAAACCCAAAAAATCTTCCAAGATTTGGGTGGATCTTTACTTTATATAGAGTAAGTGGAGGGTTAACCTCATCCAGTGATATTTCTAAGCAAAGAATGTTTTTTCCTTAAAGAATGTGCACAATAGTTCTGGGGGCTTACATTTAAACCACTTTGAATTAATCTGAACACACCAAGTACATTTTGACAAATTTCCTAAAGAATATATTGTTATACTTGGGTAACACAGAAATGGCTGAACAGATAGCTTCTTTTCTTTCCAGAAAAGAATTATTTCTGAGTTGCTATGAAGAATGTGAAATTTCATCTGATAAGATTATGGTAGAGGGTGATATTGTATATTATTAAAGATAGAGATGACATATGAATATAAAGATGATAAATATAAGGTAGAACTTGGATTGAGAGCAACAGCTATGATGTAAATCTAACAGTACTGGGCTAGGGATGTAGCTCAGCAGCACAGTGTCTGCCTGGCAAGTGCAAGGCCCTGAGTTTGATTCCCAGTACCAAAAAAAAAAAACCTAACAGGAATGGTTATGTATTGCATAATTTCAAAGGTTTTATGCATTTATCTGATTCGAGTACATAGTGCAGCCTCTTTTTCCTCATCTATTTTTCTTTTCAGATTCCTCTTGGTTATAATTACCCTTTATATTTATTTGTATGTTTCAAAATTTACTATGTATAAAATATACTATCTCATATGTCTTAAGCTGCCAGTTAAAAGTAGCAGCACTTTGCAAACTTGATTATTTGGTGCTTACTCTTCCAAATTCCATTTATGTGAACTAAAACTACGTGAAAGAGTTGGAGTCAGAAGCCCATGAAACCCTCAGCCCACCTTTCTCTCTAGGGTATTTTTTTTTAAATGTGAACTTTTTTTATTAGTATGTGCTTGTATTACATAATGTTTACATTCTTTGTGTGGAGTTAGTTCATGTACTTAACATATTCTTTTTTCATCCCTTTTCCCTTCTCTCCCTCCAGTCTCCATCTTTCTCTCTCTCTTTTTTTTTTTGGTACCGGGGATCGAACTCAGGACCTTCCACTTGCGAGGCAGGTGGCAGCACCACTGAGCTAAATCCCCAGCCCAAAGCTTGTATATATTTATAAGCCCTGCAAAAATCCCTATATTCCTCGAGAAAGCTTCCTTTACTACTCCAACTCACATAGATCTTTCAGAGTTCTCTTAGCTTAAAGCAGACTTTCTGAAAAAGAGAACCTATTGTTCAATGATGGCAAACCTTTTAGAGACCAAGTACCCAAACTGAAACCCCAAACTCACTTATTTATTGAGAAGTGCCAACATTGTAATTAAACCTGAATACTGAAGTTTTAGTTTAGAAAAAACAACTATTATCTGATGCTCAGCTGTCATCCTGACAGAGAGGGCTCTGAGTACCTGTCACGGCATGTGTGCCATAGGTTCCCCACCAATGAAGTTTGATTGTGATTTGACTTCCCCTCCTGCACCTTGCCCTGTAGTATCAATTATTTATTATTGAATGAAGCTGTAAATTCCTGAGAGACCATAGTGAGTTAGGATTAAGAAAGCTTAATGAGGGTGAAGGGTGCAAAGGTAATGGGGGAAAAAAAAATAAGAACCAAGATATATCATGTACAGGTACAAATACCCAATGATAAATGTAAACGAATTGTATACCTAAAATGCACCAATAAAAGAACTAAAAGAAGAAAAAAAAAGAAAGCTTAATGAGATTTTAGTGAGTCCTTACCACAAATGAGTTAAAGTTATTAGTAAATATCTTCTTTTTATTAGTAAATATCTTAATGTTATATAGTGGGGATAGCTATTTATTAGCCCTTTGATGGAGGAGGGGTAAGGTAAATAAATTCCAAAAAGGTGGAATAATGTACCCATGCAAAGGAAGAAGCTGGAATTGATCTCATATCTATCTGTCAAAACCATGTCCTTCACATTTACTTTATATTGTCATAATATTAGGGTCTGTGCTACTCATATAAAGTGTGATAAAAAATATAGTGAATGCTTTAATTTTAAAAAGTATGTTATAGTAAAAGACAATTTGCCATTAATCTTCCTCAAAATAATGCCCCCTATTTCAAATACACTTAGCTCATCATTCTTGCCACTTTCTGGAGCACTTCTGAAAGTCCTGTTTTTTTAATCTTTTCTTTTTTATTTTGTTAGAACATGTTTGCAATTCATACAGCTTACAGTCGTCTTGGGGAGTGGTTACATGTACATACCACAGCTTCTTTTTCTTAAAATCTCCTTCCTCTTCCCCTCCCCTTCCTCCCTCCTCCTCCAAGTCCCCTATCCCGTTTTTCATTCTTGTTGATATTATTAATCTTAGCTCATGTTATGGCATATAATGTTTACATTAATTGAGGTTATTAGGTTCCTGTACATGGTACCTCTTTATTCTACTTATTTTCCCTTGTCCTCCTCCTCATCCCTCATGTTTTTTCCCTTGAACCACTTCCATATTACAAGAGATGGATCTCCTAGTCCCCTTTTATTCATCCTTTTTTATTCTCTTTGTTTGTACTTTGCCTCACTCAAATGGGAGATATCATACAGTATTTAAGCTTGTGTGTCTGGCCTATTTCACTCAACGTTATATTTTCCAGATGCATCCATTTTCCTAAAAATGTCTCAAATCTGTGATGCCTCATTTTCTTTATCCAGTCTTCTGTGGATGGGTATACACGCTGTTTCCAGGATTTAGCTATTACAAGTTGTGCGGCTATAAACAATGGCATACAGGTATTGCTGTAGCATGATGTCTTGAACTCTTTGAGGAAGGTGTCTAGCAGGGGGTTAGCTGGGTGGTATGGAATTTCTAATTTCAGTTCTTTGAGAAATCCCCATCCTTATTTCCATAATGGTTGTCCTAGTTTGCATTCCAGCCATCTATGAAGGAGAGTTCCTTTCTCACCATAGCCTCACCAGCATTTGTTATTGTTTGATTTCTTAATGATTGCCATTCTTTCTGGAGTAAGATGGAATCTTAGTGTTGTTTTAATTTGCATTTCTCTAATGGCCAGAGATTTGAGTATTTTTTCATATATTTGTTGACCACTTGTATTTCTTCCTCTGTGAATTGTCTGTTCATTTCTCTAGCCCATTTCTT